CAAGTTTTATCATCCTATTACATAATATTTACCAGATGTAGTATTTCAGTTCCTGTTAATTTTTTGGATTTAATGTATAAGCTGAACTCTATTTTCTTTGCTTCCTATAGTGACAAAAATTTCAATTAACATTAACTGCAGCCTAAGGGTTGATAGCTGTAGTGTGCAAATATTGTGAAGTCGAAGCCTAATACAGTACTGTATTTATGATACTTTAGAAAAAACATTCCATCACTCTGCCTCTGTTACATACACACAATGTAATTGTCATCAAAATAATATACTTGTACTTTTTAATACATTCTTCATTTATAAATTTTTGCAAACAAATCATGTTACATAACAAACATATTGATATTGAAAAGTTAGAAATCCACAATGACCTTTGCCCAGATCGTTTTGGATTTTTGACGCTCGACAGTCAGTGTACCATATCCAGCACACATACCGGTGCTTACAGTTAGTGGCACTCAATTAGGAATGTATAGGGGGTATGGGCACTCGATTAGGAATGTAAATTCCAGGAATTTACTTGGCAAGGGTAGAGGGCAAATAAACCAATGCTATTAAATTTCTTTCAGAGTAATAAGAGTACCTGTTGAATTTAGTTTGAGAATTTAAAACAAAATCTTGCGTCGAGTGTAATGTACCCATTGGACCCTTACTCTAATAAGCCTCACTCTATCGAATTCCTGCATGGAATAGACCCTTACTCTATCGAATTCCTGCATGGGACAAACAGTTAATGTTCATTGGATCAAACATATGCTAGTTTCTATGAAGATTATTCACTTAAACCTGTATATGTATTGGTGGGTATAGGCTCCACCAAAACAATTAAAATAAAATATGGCCTAGGGGTTTGCCAGCGGCCTGACTAGCCCAACTAACAGACAGGCTTCTTCCCCAGATACAGTAGTTTCTTTGAGCGAGTTTACAATTTATATTTATCACATATCTTACCAAATTTACATAAAGTAATGTATATGTACAGTAATACATAAATATCTAAAAAATACTTTTAATGATTTTTCATGGTAAATAGAGAAGGAGCACTAGAAATGTAATAAAATTTGTGAACTATTCATCAAACACTGATACACACACATGGATAAAAAAAAAAAAGGAAATCCTTTACTTATTGTTGTATTGGCAATTCTTAATGTCTTGGTAACACTTATGGCCTGGTATTGAGTTACTTGTACTTGAACTGTATTTTCTGTTGCAGACGATGTGTCACAATAACGTGGCATAAGATATGAAGACTTAACCACACACCAGAAAATGAGGAGACGACGACGTATCGACTTGATGATAGTCCAGGACGGACCGAAACATCGTCGTCTCCTCATTTTCTGGTGTGTGATTGTCTTCATATATTTTGTTACCAAATGAAAATTTAATAATGTATTTGTATAACTTTTTTCATTAAAATTTTTTAGTAGTACTACCACTAGAAAGCACAGGGCCATTCTTAATATAACAAAAATGTCAAAAACAAGAAAGTTTTTAGCCATTTTAACCCATGGAAAGAATAGAGCAAAACAGAAATAATGCCACAGTGAAAGGATGATGGGGATCAATAAGTAACAAAACCTAGCTTAAAAATAGGGGCACTCAACTAGGGGTGGTATGTAACTGTGGGTAGAACATAACAGTTTGGGAATTAAGGGGCAGGCAATTTACAACACTGGAAAACTATCATTGATAAAGTTTATGATTTAGTTGTGTGTGTTAACCGAGGTATTATAATTCAGTAGTTTGTTGACAAACATTAGGAACCTTTAACATTAATTTAGATACTGAGCTTGCCATTAAATTCAGTCAGCAGATAGGAAGATTTTACGTCACACATCTGGTCAAAGCAGCAGAAATGCATTTTTACTATTTGTTTTAGGATAAACTTAATTCTTATAACAAATTATATAATACAAATACACAGTCCAGGCAAATTAATAAGTGTAAATATTGATTGTATATAACCTTTAAAGCCAAGCTCTGTTCTTGTTTTAATTAATGGTCTCTGCATTTATATTGTTCTTGAGGTAACTACCTAAGTGTAGTTGCAAGAGACTGATCTCCTGAGACTGATGGATGCCTTCTACTAGTTGCAAGATGGGAGGTGTGCTCGTGGTGTTCTGTCTTCCCTATAATCTTTTATCATATGATGCTTTGACACTAGTGACGGGTATTACGTTAGAGACATTTCCGGCTGTATGACCCACCTTCTTGCTTTGATGGCGTGAAATTATGGGCATATGTCATATCGGATATCTCAAAAGAGTGGTCAGGATTTATGTTACCAAAATTGCTAAATATTTTAGATGATCTGTCCTGTTGCACTTTACCCCAAGTTTCATTACATGCACAAACAAGTTGCAGGACACTTAAATATGTCCTTGAAAACAAAATAATTAATAAATATATAGTAATACAATCAGTCAGAATTATAATCCAAGTTTAACACACACAACTATTAGAATGATAAGCATTTGCATCTGATAATCCCCCTTTCCCCCCGAAGTACTTGAAGAGTGCGTCTACAAACCGGAACACCTTGTGACATAAGAATATTTTGAAATCGCACAAAGAAAACTAGCATAGAGAAAAATGATAACCATAATCTGACTTAATCCAGTGTTAACATGGCTTAGGTCATTGCCACTGCACAACAGGAACAAGAAAGTGCATTACTATGAATGGCTTTGTGTCAAATCTAGTATAAAGAAAATTATAATGAAAACTTTCAGTGGGAAACATCTGGCCAATTTTTTATTTTACCCAGAGTGCAACCCTCATTTGAGTAGATTTATACAAAGGGTGTGTCCACAAGGTATGGATGCTGAATACCAGCCAGTTACAAATCCTATTTCTATTTCATGTGGCATAAAATATATAAATAATACATCATTAGAAAACATATGGCATAACTTGGAGATATTAATCTATAAAATGACACAAGTCTTACCTGTAGTTGTAATGCTTATGTAGATATTAACCAAAATACACGAATGACAAGAATTATTTGCATGCCTAGGATCTCGCCATTGCATTGCTGCTAGCCAGACAGTAGGTTATATAGAATGGTATTGCCCATTTTTAAAGACATTTTGCTAGTACGTATAAACAAATGTAATAAGTATACAATATAATAATAGAGCTGAAATACATAACAGTGGGGTTACAGTAGTTAGACCTATGTAATGTAAAATGAGGCCTAAACACGTGTCTGGACACCAGTGCTTCTCGATTACTGAATTCTTTGTCTTCACTACAAAATGTAAGTGTGTAATTACCTAAGTGATGTTACAGGACAAGAGCTATGCTTGTGGTGTATCATCTTCCCAGCACTGTCATATAATGTTTTGAAACTACTAACAGTTTTAGCCAACACCTTTTCAGTCAACTTGTTCCAACCGAATACCATTCTGCAAAAGTGAACTTTCCAGTGTTATTTCTGCAACTTTTTTGAGAGCGCTTAAATATATGACCTTGTTTTTGAAGTTTTAGGTTTCAAAAATTCTTCTATCAATTTTGTTGATCCCTGTTGCTGTGTGTGGGTGTAGTAGGGTGGTGATATATGTCAGTACAGTACAAGTAATTTGTTAAAAAACTGTTTAACTGCAATGGTCAATGCATGTCCCCATAAATATAACAATTGCTTGACTGTTTTGATACGTTGGATTATATCCCTGAGAACTGGAGCTTGTCTCGAGTAGAGTTGAGCCTGGGTGTAAATGGTAACTGGTGACAATTACCAACAAGTTAAATAATGTGCTTATTTATATTTTAAATGCTGATGAGCAGTGTTGGCAGTGGTTCTGCATGTAATCTATCCTCCAAACAAATGGCCCAAACATTTAACTATGAAGCCAAAGGGTTAACGAGGTAATACTGCACAAGTAGCTTTACAAAAATGAGTATCTGATGTCCCTTCCCTGCCCACCCATAGTTGAACTGTAGCTCCAGCTGTGTTTAGTAGCTCGTTTGTTCCTTGTAATTACCGAAGTGGTGTTACAGGATGAGATCTATGCTCATAGTATGGTATGAAGGGAGCAGGCGGCTGAGCGAACAGAACACTGGACGCATGATCCTGTGGTCCCGGGTTCGATCCCGGGTGCCAGTGAGAAACAATGGGCAGAGTTTCTTTCACCCTGATGCCCCTGTTACCTAGCAGTAAACAGGTACCTGGGAGTTAGTCAGTTGTCCCGGGCTGCTTCCTGGGGGTGGAGGCCTGGTCAAAGACCGGGCCATGGGGACACCAAAAGCCCCGAAATCATCTCAGGATAACCTCAAGATATGGTGTCCTGTCTTCCCAGTACTCTGTCGTATAATGGTGTTTCACAAGGTACACGATGCAGATGAGGAGTCACAGTAACGTGGCTGAAAAATGTTGACCAAACCACACACACTAGAAAGTGAAGAGACGACGACGTTTCGATCGATTTGATAGTGGTCCAGGACGGTCCGAAACGTCGTCGTCTCTTCACACTCTAGTGTGTGGTTTGGGCAACACAAGATACACTAGTTTGAAAGCAAGTGTTTAAAATCTAATAATAATGGTGCAAGATAGCATGGTAGCATTGGTGACTTTAATGTCGAGATACAGGTACCATACACCGAAGTGGTGTTACAGGATGAGATCTATGCTCATAGTATGGTATGAAGGGAGCCGAGCGGACAGCACGCTGGACTTGTGATCCTGTGGTCCTGGGTTCGATCCCAGGCGCCGGCGAGAAACAATGGGCAGAGTTTCTTTCACCCTATGCCCCTGTTACCTAGCAGTAAAATAGGTACCTGGGTGTTAGTCAGCCATCACGGGCTACTTCCTGGGGGTGGAGGCCTGGTCGAGGACCGGGCCGCGGGGACACTAAAAAGCCCCGAAATCATCACAAAATAACTCAAGATACATGATGGTTTTGGTGGCTAGATAATGATGCTTCAGTTTCTGGGGCACTGGTGTCCAGTCGTGTATTTTTTTTGTTTTTTTGTTTACAAAAAATGCACCTCTCAGGGAGTCTAACTCCATGTCATTCAACAGATTAATACCATACATCCTCCGTAAAACATAAGAACAAAAATTAAATATAACCTCTTATATCGATGATCAGAAAAGTGTTTTTTTTTTTGTGATTTTTGTAAGAGACACGCATACAGTCTTGGAAAACTGAACGTTCTAGACACTAAGTGGACTCTATACAAGTACATCTTACCTCGCTTTGAAAATATGTTAATTTAAATGTAATAAGAGTGCATTAAGTAGTCCAGCTTAATCTCAAATTATGGATATACAGTAGTGTATCTAGCAGGTGTCTATGCTATGTAATGTGACTCGATATCTTCCATTTACATATGCATAAACCAATAAATTTCAGCATATTAGTAAGTGATATTGCTGTTATTTATGTAGATCATTACATACACATTACTGAGGAACATACAAGTGTAAATCCTCACTTTGTAACAATTATACAATCACAAAATCTCAGTTTACACCTTCTATTTTTGAGTATAATGACATGTTTTTCTTCCTAACTTTTTATAATTATTGCTCTAGAGAGCTTACAGAAAATTTCAGTTTGTATAAAAACAAAAGCATTAAGTAATTTATAATATATCCCCCTTTTTTTCAAACCTTCTGATAAATATCTTAATAATGAGCAATAAAATTCAACAGCACATACAAGAAATATAATGTTGCATTGAACAAATCCACAAGTGCCGTGATAAGGATTCGAACCTATGTCCGAGAGGATTCCCAGACGCACCTTTGTTCATTTGCTGCATCATGCTATTGTGATTTCTGTGTATATGTTCCATTATCCACTTAAAATGTATAAATAGTGAGACAAATCTCACTAATGAAGCTCCAAACAATACATAATTTTATTTCACAGTCAACTTGAATTAAGAGTACAGTGCTACCTAGGATATTTGAAAATTGACCATTCAATTGGACATTTCATCAAGACATTTGTAAATTTCAATAAATGGTTAATAATTATTTAAATACATACTTTGATGAGTATTTCAATTAAAACTATAATAGGAACTATAGTATAAATAAATAACAAAAATATAATTTAAAGCGCATAAATACAAACTTAAGCGAGAACGTCGTGGTCGGGACGGAAAGATCTCCATATATCTAAGTGTTATTTGAGTGTTGTGGTTTAACTAATGCCATTATCAGGAGACTGTAAAATATTATTTATACTTTTTTCTCATGGACACTTTGTAAATGTTAAAAAGTTTTTTGTGGTTAAACTTAAATGATTATATCAAGCTGTCAATTCAGTACATGTATACAATCTCTTACATTCAATGTACCTTTTATAAATAATTGCAACTACAGCCTGTTAGGAGGGTTTTATAATATGATCGTGTTTCTTAGAGTAATTTAGGGTATCTTGACCCTATTTACTTAGACTGGCTTAAAAGAAACAAAAGATAAATTATTTAAAAATTTCATGGATTTATATTTTGATTGTTATGTATGAAATAATAATTAACAGCTTGCTGATAAATATGTTAGTTACACCCGTGTAGCAAAATATATAATAGTTTTTTGTGAGGATTCAAGGGATGAAACCCAGATATGAGTTATGAGCAGGCATTTGAAAGTTTATCTTCAATGCTGTTTTTCCTGCAGTAATACACACACAAAAAATTTGTGCAATATGACATTCGTACAGTGACAAACTAATAGCATCCAATGGACAACTTCATGCTCGTGTCATAAACACCAATTGTATACACAATGAAACGAAGTCGTTATCTCCCAATAATTAAACCTATGTAAACCAACTACACACGCATTTACCTCAGAGTATTATCTTCAGAAATTCCAGATTAAATATATGTCTGTCAATTGATGAAAATCAAATGCAAATATTTTAAGTTTACTAGTTATATCCTCAAAGTGAATTTTCTGAGGTGTGGAGTTTCTGGAAGAATAAATGCCTTCTGAGTAGGAAAATTTGTGTTTAAGAATATCACCTTTGCCAAGCCTGTGTAAACAAAGTTTGCTACCTACTTGCAGTGTAATTAGGCACTGAATTTTTCAATATTTAGGATTAAAGTCTTCCTTACCCCCTGCTTATAGAGCATTTAGAATAGGTGGTCTACTATCTTCCACAAATGCTCGTCCCAGTTCAATTACTGTATCATTCTTGGTGAATATTCATACTTTATTATTGTTGTTATACCAGTGTTTGCCATGACAAAACGGTTTGTAATTCTAGGTTTGTGGCAAACTTGCACAAATATCCACCACACACATTTTATCTTCAACCACAAAACTGAAATTTTACTTCAAAATGGAAAATTAAATTGTAATCAACAAATATTACAACCAAGTAGTCTCCTAAACACACACACACACACACACTAGGTAATAGGTGCTAGGTAATTACATACACACTAAGCAATTACACTTTGTGTGTGTGTGTGTGAGATTACCTATCTCAATTCATTTAAGCTTGGCTAAAAACCTATACAAGATTTTTTATAATTTATTAGTAAACACTCATGCCAAAAACAATGCCTCAAAGAATTGTGCCCAAAACTATTTAAAAATGCTCACTTGTATTTGTTAAATAATATTTACAAATTTAGTGGCAATAGAAAATATTCAAAATAAAAATGGAAGTGCACAAGTAATAAGACACAGAAAGGTTAAACAAAATCCAGTGTTTAATGTAACGAAAGGCCTCTTTCTGGTGGGTCCCTTCAATGGCTTCCTGAGATACCCACTAAGATACCTTTACTGTAAGCCTTAGGCTCCCCACCAGGCTCCACATGGCAAGTGCTGGTCACAAACCCCCCAAGCCAAGATCCAAGGCATCTAACTAGGTCGAGAATGGGTGGAGGGAAGGTGCCACAGAACCAAACCCCAAAAAGAGTTTAAGTGATGACAGATGCTGTTGGAGAGCAACCATCCTGAGAGTAGCAAAGGGGATTTCATTGGAGAAAAAAGGCACAGCACTCTAAGCCAAACTGTAATCAGAGGATAAACCATGTAGGTAAAAATCAGACTGCTGTGCAACAGATCGATATGTGCTAAAAAGTTATCCAAGCACTTGCCACCTCAAAATGTATGTGAAAGGACAACTGAACCAATGCTGCCAGAGGCAAACATGGGGAAGATGACCTGGTGTCTCAGACCAGGCCCAGCCGGGTTCAAACCTGCGGCAAAACCAACTGGAAGTTCCAGTTAAAAATAGTCATTTAACTGTGAGTTAAATGACACACTGTGTGTGTGTGTGTGTGTCATTTATAGTTGTGCTATAAATACAATTGAGTGCTAGAACAGTGTACTGTATGTGCTGTGTGTTTGTGTAATTACCTAAGTACAGTTACAGGATAAAATGGGACTCGGGGTGTCCCGTCTTTTGTCGTGTGACACTTTGAAACTACTGATGTTTTTGACATCCACCAGATTTTCACTTCAGTTATTCCAGCTCAAAGCACTTTGTTTGCAAGAAGAGACCTTGTTTCCTCAGCTTGAATCTATGGTCACTTGTTTTTGAAGTTGCTAATTTCCAAAAATTCCTCCTAGTCAATTGTGTAAACTTGTCACTATTTTGTGTGATCATATCATCTCTCTTTTTTTCCCCTCTATGTTCTGAAAATAAACATTCTAGTTTATTAATGTGCTTCTTGAAATATGGAACACCACAACTGCTGCATATTCTCATTTGGTCTTAGAAATGTCAAGTATTTTAAAATTTATTTGTGCAGCATAGGTTCCTCTCACACCACCTTAGATTGATCCTTTGGTGACAGTTTACTATCTAGAACCACCATTAGACCTCTTTATTTGTCAGAATTCTTTATATCTTTTTACATAATTTATACATTGAGTGTCGCTTGTTTTCCCTTATTCCACATTCATTTAATTTGAATTCCATTTGCTGTGTTGCTCCACTCACTTATTTTGTCAATGTTACTTTGTTGGGCATGGGAGTCATCTAAATATTTTACTCTTTCTAGTAACTAAATATTATCTGCAAACATATTTATGTAACTCTGAATCCCCTCTGATAGATTGTTTATACTGTATAGACAATGAACATTACCTGTACTTATGCAAGAAGTGAATGTTATAGTACTCTGCTAGTGACATTTCTCCGGTCTGGTCTTTCTCATGCTCTCATCTATTTGTGTTTGAATTTCTGTTTCATCCCAACCAGTATGTTTTAATTTTCAGAGCAGCCTCTTGTCAGATTGTCAAAAAGCCTTTATTTTAGGCCCAGATGAATGCAATTAACCCAACCAAGTCTACCGTAATATCTCTGTGACTATCATAAAAGCTAAGTAGATTTGGTACAAAGGATCTTCCCATGCAAAAGCCATAACATCTATCTGCTACTGTCTGTGTGTGTGCGCGCGCTTGTCGGAGTGTATTCGATACTAAAGGTAATATGTTTAGTAAAAGGTAAACTATGGCGATATTAGCATATTCTTTTGTGCACAATATTAAAAATAAAATAATTACATTTTAAATTAAAAATAGATTTTTGTCAATTTGGTCATATATATCAACTTGACTACCAGTCTCTGCACAATTACAGAAAAAACTATTTTCTGATCAGCCTTCTTACTGGGTATAACAAAGGACATATGATATAAAACGCATGTAATGAGCTGGGAACTGAAAATCGGCTAAGAATTGGAAATGTTTCACAAATTAAAAACTCCATGCATGCCATTACCATATTAAACATTTTCCCATAGTTCTACCAAGAACCCACACAAGATGTTTTCTTTCTGCCATGTGTTTGGTAATTATAATTAAGTCAATTAGGATGCCAACAGGAACTCATCATCCATATAGCGTTTCCAATACTGTATATGACAAGTTTGCTTTCGCAACTAGGTGTTATATTTTTATGTACGCTATGTTTAAATTAAAAAAACATGATACATTTTGATTTTGCCATATGTGCCTAAAGGACAAACATGTCATAAAAAGTAATTGGTATTAATGGTGCTTCACGTGTAGATCATAAGCAAACCTGACCAAGCATCCTCAGGATTCTGTGCATTCTTAAAACAGATGTTTTTCAGTGCATATCACAACTGGCTCATCGACGCCAAATCGTCTATTTTCAGCGTTTATCCACTTTTAACCAAGTTGGGTTATCTGACATACACTTTCAAGGCACCATGGATAAGGAGTGCATGGCTTAAAGCAGGCATGGGAACCTATAGGCCACTGGCCCAGATCTTGGTACCTATTACCAGGTGTTAATATTTGTTGTCCTCTTTTGTCTTTTTTCATATCCTCTTTGGTGTAACACACTTAAAAAGGACATGAAAATATTGATAAAACAAATGTATTATGTAATAGGATCTGGCACAGCTTAGCATAACCAATGGCTGCGAAGTCTGTTATAGTTAAATTATCAAGGAAAGTTGTACTGGACAGTTTTAAGCTGATCTTCATCAAGCTTGGCATGTATGCTCAAGACTTCACCAGGCGTCAGAAGTCCCAGAAATATACTCTATGAAATACGATATCAACAACATACTCTTCATATATAATTATTATTATATGTGAGGTTTCATAAATAACAATTAAACTATACACTGTGAGCCAATAGTCTTTCTCTTGAGGGCTACACTTCGTGCTTATACACAACATGCAGTTTACCTGTACAGTATACTGCTTTGGTCATTGTTATTCATTTTGAGCATTCTACACTTTACTCAAACAAATTTGAATATTAAGATATATGCATTGACCAGACCACACACTAGAAAGCGAAGGGACAATGACGTTTCGGTCCGTCCTGGACTATTCTCAAGTCGATTGTGGACAATCGACTTGAGAATGGTCCAGAACAGACCGAAACGTCGTCATCCCTTCACTTTCTAGTGTGTGGTCTGGTCAACATACTTCAGCCACGTTATTGTGACTCATCACCTGCTTAAGATATATGCCTCCTTACCAAACTAGTTCATTTTGCTTGTATTGAGTACTTTTGTCCGAAGATAACTTTGTCTTCAATCGTGTAAACAACCAGATGGTTATACCAATAGTATGTTTCTTGTATATCATCTTACCTTCAACACCAAGCGCTTTTCAGTGCCATGTTCTTTTAATATTTTCAAAGTGATATGCAATTTTTCTGTGGAATATGAATGTTAAGATACAGTAAATTAGTGCTTGGACAGGATACACTTTTAGAAGAAAAATAAAAGCAGCTCACATTAATTTGTTCATTAAAAAAGGGTGCTAACAGGACTGATGAGATATTTTGGGTTATGTACTTGGCTCTAGACTACGATATTTTAGCAAATTCTATGTAATCGACTTTAAAGCTGAAAATAAAGCTGGCTACCGATTTTTTCTCCTTGATTTACAGTACTAAAACTGGTCAAGCATCCTATAAATAACTGTATCATTTATTAACCTACAAAAAATATTGTTAGGCAAATAAAGTCAGATAATACTGATGAAACATTTTTCATGCACAAATATAACAAAGTCAGACTAGAAATAAATGCTGGCTTTTAATCAAATATAAGCATTTAATAAATTACTTGCAGGATGAGATTTAACTGTTGAAAACTATAAAAAGATTCATACCCCTAATACCACCCTACCCCCTAAAAAAGTAAGGCAGTATAAATCTAAATAATAGATGAACTTCCCATCTCAAATCCATATTAATATTTGCTTCTTTTGAGCTAAAAATGACTAAAGTTTAAAAGGGCCAATTAGACAGTATTTGATATAATAAAGCCCATTCTGTTTTCTACTTAAAACTGCAATACGAGCAGTAAAGTGTTTGAGCATTTGCATTTCATAATTTATAGCAGTGCTAACATGCACATAGCAAATCTAAATTTGCAAAAAAATCTCATTAAAATAATCTCGATACAAGTCTATACAATGGTTCACTGCTCACTGTTTTTTTGTCAAGGATTCTTCGATGAGTATCTAAGATAGATTTTTATTAATAAAATATATACATTCTTATTTTTATGTAAAAAACATCATTCTTTGTATGAAGTGTCTCTAATTAATTAGTGATTAAAATTTTGTATTATAAATACTGAGTAATGAGAGCAGTGAACCAAGTCAACAGAAATTCTTAACTGTATCTAAGAATTAAAATGTTATATTACAGGGATGATTAGAATGAATAAATGATATGAACAATGATGCCCATACCTGTCACAATCCCCCCGGATAACTTACTGTGTGAGGAGGAACAAGTCCTTACACACGGGGCCCAAACCCCCAAGATGGTCCGCTATTTGTGGGATAACTTGGCCACAGCCGCATTTAGCTGAGTTTGTGATCGTGACAATACTGTGGGTTTTGCTCCAGGAATGCTTTCAGTTTGGTGGGGTAGTCGGTCATAACGCCAGTGGCTCCAGTTTCAAAGGCACAGCGGAAATCTTCCTCTGTGTTCATTACCCAGAGATAAGTCTGTGGGGAAATATTTAAATATCAATTTATACAATACTGATAAACATGGGGACAGTATTGGCAGATGCATATTTTGTGTGTAAATACATTAGAAGAAACATGTGGATATTTCTGGGAGGGACTCTTCAGTGGGCCCCTTTCCCCAAACCTATCCCTGGTACTACCATGCCTTAGCTCAACACACTAAGCCTCTAAGACCATAAATCACCTACTGCAGCCCATCCTCATAAACAAAGGCCAAATGCTTGAAAGCTTATATGCAACAGAATAAGTGATTGCTAAAGGGTAATTAGGCATCCCTAGGTAACCAGGGCAAATGACTTTTCATTTTTAAATACCCAGTTTGATGCACTTGACTGCCACCAGATGGTAACTCAGGTTACTTGAGATTTTGTTCACTTTGCTCCTTCACTTGGTATCATCAATCCAGCCCCTGCAGCCCTGCTGGGTCTAGCACCTGCTTTTCCTGGTACTTTTGTTTGGTCAGGGCCATCAATTTGATAATATTTTGTAGTTTATGATTGTTATTCCACTAACATTGTGTGTCCTGGCATTTTTACAGTGGTTACAATTACCTTCCTTGGGGCTGGCTTGCATTTCTCTACACATCTCCAGAGATACCTGCTCTGAGAAGTTTCAGGCTTCCTGCTAAAAGTCGACTTGTCTCGGGATTCCTGGTTTCTAGGCAGCACAAGAAACTTTTTTCCTGTGAGGTTTCTTGATGGAAAGAAAGTCTGTGGACTGTGTGCTTATGTTAAATGATGTGCCCTTGGTGCTGACCCAACTTCTGAGAGTGTTGGGTCAGCACTTGCAGCAAGTTCTCATAAATGCTCTCTTATTATACTTTAATATACATTATGTCTTCCCACCTTTTGAACTGAGAAGGTAAATTCATTAGCTCCCCATCCTCAGGCTGGGGCCAGGCTGCCTTGTGATGGTGATCGGTACTAATGAGTTTTGAGGTAGTTTGAGTGAATACCTTGTTCTGTGTGAGTTGTCTGTGGAGGCATTTGGTAGTTTCAAGGCTTCATTTTCTGTGAACCATCCAGTTGTCTGTAAAGCTTCACTGACTTTTCGAATGCTTTCCTGGTGAGGTGGCAAACTGTCACTTACTTCCTGTGCCTCTGTGAAAAAGGGGCCAGGTTCTAGCTCTGGTCTCTGGTAGGCCAGACAACTTTCACAACTGATGTGATCTTTTAGCATACAGCAATTTCAGCAAGATAGCTTCAGAAAATTCAAAATGCAGTATAGTATGGCAAAGGAAAATAACACCAAATCACTAGAGATTAAAATAAAAAACTGAAGAGATTACAAATATATTTATAATATTTAAATAAATTAGTTCAACTTTCAACAAGCAACTAAAAATATGAGGACTTAATTTGTTTCTATTTGGTCATAAAACAAATTGTATTACCTGGACCCCTCGCTTAGAAAGGTGCTCAAACAACGACCGCCTGATGAGTAACACATTGGCAATCTTGGCTATCAACGTGTGCCACCATTTACACTCAAAGTGACTTCCATATATCCTGCAAAGATGATCAATTTTATATAACTCTGGCTTGTATTTATATTCTACGTGTACCCCCCTCTATAGTTTGACACGCTCTTAAAATTCAAAGACGGAACAATACATAATGGTAAAAATCCTCATTTGAAAAACAAATAATACGTTACAGCTCTTTAGATTAAGGGAGCTTCACATTCTAACACTAATGTATTGATTGTTATCATTGTATACTATGGATTTCTGTACTCACTTAACCATATGGACTGGCATAAAAATTTCTAAGTGGGTTTCTTTGAGTGGCATAAAAGGCAAGATCCCTGTGTAAAGCTGCACCAGCATGAGGCACACTCGTCGAGCACTGAAGAGCAGGCACACATTTGGGTTCTGCAAAAAGTTACAATAGAAGATATATTAATTTATTAAATTTTGTGATTTCAGTCAGCAAAGATGTATGGTAAATGCTGTTCTAATTTTGAATATTACACAGAGGTTTATCTGTGATCAATAATACTGATCAGTAATACTAAGGAATAATGTGGAAGACTAGTAAAACAACTGCCGTAATAGAACAGAGAACTGTAAAATGGTATTATAAGCATTGCTAAAATTGTGGGGCCCATGCTGTATTGCAAAACTAAAATACTATTAAATCGGTTGAAATACAGGATCAATAAAATATACAACCCAACTTCTGTCAGACAAAGTTGGAGAAATGTGGAAAATTCTTTGCATATTGTATTTTATTTTCAAACTAACTAAGAACAAAATCATGGAAGGAGAAGGAAAGATCCAATATGTGTAAGTGGATGAAAATGTTTGGAAGCAATTCAGTGATTCCAAGTATATTATGTTAACACGGTAATTTTTCCTCCACAAGTCAACAGCCCAGTTACCAACCAAAATATTTTCATGTTTCTGAATTTTTTAACGAAACCTACACCCTTTCTCAAGGTTCTGTATACAATCAGTTGTATACAGTACCTTGAGAAAGGATGTAGGTTACATGTAAAAATTTAGTTTTTAATACACACACATTGTGTCTTTCCTTCACCTTCATTCAAACACTATGGCATAATACAGTAGTAAGTTTCTTTTAAAAAAAAAAAGTCCTGCCCCAAAGACAAGTGTTTATATATACCTGGGAATTCAATATCACTACATACTGCAATAAAAATATAATATAAAAATGATATTTATATATATTGAGAGTATATAGGCCAGTTGGTGTTGGTCAGTGAGGAAGTATTTCCATAGAGGAAACAGTGGATGTTTGCTTCTCCAATAATGATTCTAAATTTTGGGAACAACCACATTATAGCACCACTACCATTTACTTCACCTACACATTCCACTTTCAACAAGTTCCATATTCTTTGTCTTCTTTTGCTTTATAATTATAGTTTCCTGTTGCTTTCATTCTTTCTCACTTGCATCTGCATGCTAAGGATATTCTCATTTTTTCACACACATTTATTATTATTAAATGCAAGCCAGGGTGTGCATGCTTCACTTAACACAGCCAAAATATATAATACTTAATGCAAAATTACTCAAGTGCTCCTTCGAGACGATAATACAGTATTTGAAGGCATTAAGTGACCCCTTCCCCCTACCAAGTGAAAACAAGGCATCACAGGTATAGACAGTAATCAAGAAAATAAAACGAGAGGATTGTAAAAATTAAAATCAGTAATTTAGTAAAGTTCATTAATAAAGTTACTTGTTATTAACCAAAAATGCAAACCGGTTTCTGAATTACTTTGAATAGGAACAAGCAGTCAGACAAACAAAAAGCCATAATATCCATCTAGTGTTAGGCAAACTTGCACAAATCACACATTTATAATATGCATTATTAAACATATGGATCAGAGACCTTCATTGCCCATGGTTGGAGAAATAAAAGGAAGGGTTCCTTATTTAATTATTTTCGTGTTGTTACATTGCAGAGTGCCATTTGGCAGTGCGGTATGTTAAGTAGAATTTGTAATTATATAAAAAAATAGCACCAAGACTGAAAAGCTGTATAGCACCTCCGTGTCACAGAATATTCATACGTTACCAGGTATCATTCATGATGCTAAGAGAAGAAAAACATAAGGCGAGAGATATCCAAAGAACAAAATTGGATTCTTTTTTTTGGATTCCCCAAAATATTTTATCAAAGGACATACTGTATAACTCAAAGTTGGTAGTCAACTCAAAGTTGGTAGTCTACTTAAAATGTTCTACCTTTACACTGCTAACTCAATAACATATTAGTGTCACTTTTTTTTTTTTTTTTTTTTTTTTAACTCCCTACTGATATTTTTCTTTCATAAATTTCTTCATTTCTATTTTGTCAATTGTGAGCACTTGCCAAGGGCAGTCTTTTTTTCTCACAAAACTCAGTAATGTATACACACGATAATCCAAATTATACGGGAGTCCACCCACATTCAATTTAGTCGGACATTGTAGTTGGCTGAATTTTTACTGAGAAAGTCAAGAGAAAAAATTTAGTTTTTCATTCAGCAAACATATCGGTAATTCAAATATTTAACAAAAGTTGAGCAGACAGAAATTTGATCTAGAATTAATTTGGATTACGTTAAATTTTTAAATTACAGAAGTCACTTTAATTTTTTTTTAGTACATATTGAATGAGCTCAGTAGTACTGTAGAATTCTTTGAATTTTTTTTTCAGGTTTCCTCCAAGCATACTTAAATTAATACTTCAGACATAATAAATGTCTTGATAAGATTCTACGTGTGGAACTTCCTGTATGACGAGTTCCCAGAGGAAACAAGACATCAAAAGTATAGATGCAGATGGTCTTACATATGCTGTCCAGTATTATAATTTGCATCGGGCCTTATAAAGTGCATCCTTTTCATCATAGAAGAATATTACTGAAGTGCAAAACATCTTTATTTGCATTGCTGTACAAGAAAAAATCAATACTGTACGTGTACTCTATACTGTATTTTTAAAAACTCTCTTCTGTATGTTTCTTCATGGTTAGGCTGACCATATTTCCTTGAGACAAAAACGGGACATTGTGATGGCAAAAATGGGTTATGTAATATTCCATTTCCATGAAAAAGTAAGATAACACATTTTAACATAAAAAGGTTAACACGATTGTAGAGTAAAGATCAGGGTTCGTATATGGTCACAGAGAAAGTGACGTCATGTAGAGTAAGGTGGGCTATGAAACTAGTCCCCCATGACGTAGCCGGGTCAAGGGTTAGGCGGCTAGGGTGTGACCAGAGCCCATATTATTAATTCATAAAGTATAAATTCAGATCACTATTCAATATTGTAACTGGAAATAGCCTTTCCCCAAGATTTCTATAGAATTACCATCAGATTCAATAAGAGGTCAACCATCTGGGTTGGCCAGTAAATGAAGATTAGTTTGTTCAAATTTACCCTGCTTGGTAATTAATAACCAGGCGGAGTAATATTAGGTAGCCTCGGTCATTAGCACAGGACAGGCTATTCAGTGTGGTTTGGGCAGCAACTGGGAGAACAACCATCACCTCCCCAAAGACCAGAACAGCATCAGCTGGAATTCAAATTTATGGTAAAGTACTGCAGAGTTTTGGGTACAGTTAATTCTCACTCATTTGGCCTCTTAGGAAATATTTCAGTTAGGAAGTGTTAAAGTTTAGGGAGTGTTTCTTTTTATTTCCATTTTTGATAGTTTTGTTTCAATAAATTTTGTTTTAAATTAATAGTATTTTTGAGTTTTCCAATATTAAATATGATTGTCTTTGCCGTGGTCTCCACGAGTCTGTTTTTGTTTTATTGAGCTAAGTCGATATTCATATTGCGAGCAAGCCTAGTCCATTTTAAAGTCTGATGTATCCCCTTAATTTACTATTGAATTCACTTTACGTAAAGTCATGCCTCCCTTTCCACTTAATTGGGGATAACCCACATCAAGGGTTTAATGGTTAATTAATTGGTCCAAACTCCAATTAATTAATCTTTAAGATCGTTTTTGGTTTGGTGGTGGCAGCAAGTGAAGGTTATCTTGAGGTTATCTTGAGATGATTTCGGGGCTTTTTAGTGTCCCCGCGGCCCAGTCCTCGACCAGGCCTCCACCCCCAGGAAGCAGCCCGTGACAGCTGACTAACACCCAGGTACCTATTTACTGCTAGGTAACAGGAGCATTCAGGGTGAAAGAAACTTTGCCCATCTGTTTCTGCCTCGTGCGGGAATCGAACCCGCGCCACAGAATTACGATTTCTGCGCGCTATCCACCAGGCTACGAGGCCCCTTGAGTTTGCTACGAAGGTCCTTGAGTTTGCTAGAAGCCTAGTACAGCGTTTCGTGTTTGTAGCATCTAAGGCGGTCAATCATCCAAGATCACGAGGCGTGGACTGAGGGCTGAAAGTTAGAGCACCGGGGGGTCTTTGAGATAAGTCAACTAAGGGTAGGGTAGTGGAAAGGTAGAGCCATTACCCCGTACCCATTACACTCCTATGGTTCTGAAACGCCTTTTCCTTGAGAACTTTTCTTCGCACTCCCACTCCGTTTCCATTTTCACCAATGGGTCTAAGTCTGCGGACAGTGTAGGCTACCCCTGTTGTTTTTCTTGACCGCACTTATATGTGTCACCTACCTCCGGAGACTAGCATCTTCACAGCAGAATTTTATGCTATACTGTACTATATGTTCTTCGTCTCCTGCTTTCTCGTCATCAATCTTCCTTTGTAGTCGTCGTTGACTCTCTTAGTGCCCTCATGGTTCTTGGGGTCCTTTAATCCGGTCCATCCAGTGGTCGTCGAGATTCAGCATTGACTGTTTCATATTTCCAGTAAATTTAAGTAAGTTGAGTTTTGCTGGGTTCCCAGCCATATTGGCATCTCTTTAAATCAGTGTGCGGATGCTGCCACTAGGGAAGCTGTCCGTTCTTGTCCCATCTCCGGCAAAGGTATTCCATATTCCGACTTTTACCCAGTTATTCATTCCTCCATCCTTACCCGTTGGCAGTATTGTTGGTCTTCTGTTACTGGTAACAAACTGAGTACTCTTAACACTTTCGCGCTCTCGGCGCTCAAAAAAAAACAATACCCCAGATGCTTTCGGCACTTCGCGCGCCTACGTGGTAAGACCGAAAAAGTGTACACTCTTTTGACTGTCCTGACAATAATTGAAGGCGCACGTATTTAAATTTGGTATCACTGTGTTCGCAATGAAATTGTCTATAAGAGCATACCTATAAAATGCCGCCCAAACATAAGGAGTATCTACACCAAATAAAAAACTATGCAGATCACTCGCCGAGAGCGCCAAACACCAACAAAATGTTTCCACTCTCTTAATGGTTGCGAAGCCTACAGTTGTCCTACATCGCTAATTTTGGTATCATTGGAATCGCAATAAAATTCTC